TCATTAGCATGTTTTTCAGCAGTCACCAAGAAACCAAGTGTTTAATCAAGTAGGTCTGTGTATGTTCTGTCCCTCAGACTTGATCTACTGACCATGTAAATACTTGTGTCAACAACAGTTACTATCTCATAGTTCTGAAAACATTAATGGATGGATATAAGCCCTATAGAACCCAAGCTAGAAGCTTTTTGAGGCAATAGACAGAGAATGTGGGGAGAGGGGAGATACTCAGCAATTCAGATTGTGAGCTGGGAAAGAAGTTCCCAGAAAATAGAGAAAAAAGACAAACAAGAGACTGTAGAAAACCTTTTGTATTCAGACTTGGTTGAAGTCTATTTTTCTATTTTTTTTTATATGCTACTATGGACCATTCACTATGCTGCCTTTCCTTACTAGTGTAGTATTAAATGCAGTCAGTTTGTGGATTGCTCGTTTAAAGGAAGCCAACACAATTTTTGACCTTCCTTAGCTTTCTGCGTTTCCATATGAGTGCACATGCAGAAACAGTTTTAATATTATTTCAGTTGTTCAGAATGATGTGAGAAAACCCATTCTACAACTGGAGTGAAGGCTGATGAAAAATGTTAGCACCTTCAATTTGCTTTGTTTTAATTTCCAAAATCTCTGGTTTTATTTTAAAATGTAACAAGGATGCTCTTAAATTTACAATACGTTACTTGAATTTCAAAAGGCAATTTTCCCTTTAATAAAGCTATTGTGGGCTGGAACATGGGGATCAAGTGCAGATGTGTTTCGTTGATATGATTCAGTGAATGTACTGTTCTTGTGGAAGTATCTGTGTCTAAAAGAGAATACAGCTGACAGAATTTCTTTGGCCTGTGATATGACTTCCTGTGGTTGATGCCAATTTGTTTTAAACGATAAACTGACACACACCGTTGATCTTTAAAGGGCAACTAAATTTTTCTATTAATAAGAAACATGCATAGTTGAGCAGTTGCTGGATGATGCATACAGATGCAGTCATTTAAAATACAGTTTATTCAGTGTATTAATTGGCTTTTTAAATTAGAGTTTGTAAATAAATGGGTCAGAAGACCAGAACTGATTTTGCAGCCAACCACCACAGAAAGGATAACGAAGATTAAGAGGCTTTCTCCTATCTGTCTGTGTCTCAGTGTCTGGTTCTGGAGGGATCCTTCCTGAATATTTTCCATGTTCCAGGCTTGTCCACTTACTCCCTCAAATTCAAAATGACAGTGCTGCTTGATATTGACTGTCATGATGCGTATACTTGTCTGTTAGCAAACTTGTCTGAAACCACTAACATTTCTTACATTAACCAGTAAACTGATGGAAGTACTTTTTCTACAAACTGCAGTTCAGTAGGTTGGTCTAGCATTTCCTGTATCATACAGCCTCCCTTCCAAGTCTCCGATTAATCAGCCTTTTTTTGATATTTCATTGTTGATACCTACTTTTGATCACACAATTTAATAATTCAAGCAAGTTTGGTACATGTTGTGCTGATGATTGATGGTATCATAGGAGCCAATTATTCCCATCCTGATTCAAACAGTTTTGGATGTGTGAGCTGAAAAGGCTCCCCACGAGCTAGTACACAGAACACGAATCTCCAGAGAATATTTCGAACATTTAGCCTACTGGAAAATCAGGCTTTTCTTTTGGAGGTTCATTCTTCTTTCTTTATTTGAAATGAGAAAACCAAAGTAAGCTAAACTAGAACCATATAATTCTCTTTACTGATTGCCTCAGTAACGATACAGTTTAGGGTGTTTGGGACTTTACATTCAAATGACTATAAAAAACCTTTTGTCCTCAGAACTGGTTATAGTACTTGGTTTCATAATGAATTGCATCAAGATTCGTACCTCTATCATCTGGCTGCACAGTCTGCATTTTTCCATGAAGAAAAAAAAAAATTCTTTGTATTTGTATTAGCAATTACAAATGCTTTTGTATAGATGTGAAGATTTTACTGGTGTGGTGGCCTGTGAGCAAATATGGGATCTGTAGATGTGCCTATATTTGTTTGCTTGATACTATGTACTTACTGTAGGCATACATAAAATCTTGTAGTTATTTAAGCCTTTAAAAAAGAAATAGATGAATACATATTGAAGGGTGAATAGACATTGATAATATATTTTTTTTACTTAAGCAAGAGGAGACATTTAGTGAATTTTTGCATGTTACAACCTATCTCTGAAAGGACAAGTTTAAAATATGATTAAGGTATTGATATCAGAGAGAGTCAGAAAGTGCTGGGTACATGAAACAAATGGACTCTCTTATATCTAGAAAGTGAGGAATGAGTTCCTGAGGAAGGACAGCATGGGGAATACATTAGGATTAGAGACACATAAGAACAAATAGAAAACACAGGAAGAAAATCCGTTTGGAATTTTTTAAACTAACACTCTTGTTTCTTCCTATACCAGACACAAAGAAATAGGTCAATTCTTTCTTAAATACATCAGCACTTTCTGCCAGTGTGAGCTTGATGAAGTAAATGGAATCAGATCCATGTGAAGTTATAAGAGTGACAAGTCAGTCCTTTAGTGGACTGAGGTTTACAGTAAATTCACTTTAAGCTAAAGCTCTGTAAACCAGGACAAAAAAAAATGTTTGAACTATTATGACCTGAATAATATGTTCTATATTAAAATTCGGTATATTTGAAAATTGTTAAAGAGTACTGATTTAAACTGTTTGAGTTAGCCAACATTGCCTAATAAAAGAATAAGTATTTTCTACTTAGTCCTGGCATGGTAACAAAGGATCTCCTTGGGTTTCTGTGCCTAGGTGTGCTTAACCATTTGAAAAATTTGTCCTAACAGTGCTAACATGCACATTTGCTACTTTTATACAAAAGTATGCTCTAAAAGGCCAGAAATGCTTTAAGTGCATTGTTGCCATCATGCATCATACCTGATTGCATGCTCTGCAAGTGAAGGCAATTCACAGGTAGTTCTCATCTGAGTTACCATTTAGAGGGTGACTGCAGAGAAAATAAACTTGGGAATGCATTTATTTTTACCAGAAAAACATACAAGTCTCTAACCATTAAAAGGTAATAGACATATTTGCCTATGTGAGCATGAACAACCCTGTAGGATTTGATATTCATACACACTAAGGCTCTTTTACATGAATGGGAGACAATACAGGGTTGTTAATGTGGGTTGTAATCATAATTTTTTTATGCTTTTAGGTCTTCCATGTGAAATAAGGGAGATTAAGTAGTCCAGCTCCTAAAAAGTAGAACAAAGAATGAGCTTGACCAATAAAGGAAGGAGTAAAGTATTTAGTAGCATTAAATGAACTATTTTATTTCCACTGGAATTTTTACTGATTTTATTTGATGATTTACTGCAAGTCTATTCATTGTCTTCCAAATCTAGTTTAAAACCCCTTCAACTGAAGTCCCCAGTAAGATATAGGATAATAAAAATTTCTCAGATAGCATTATTGACTACCTCTGTATGACTGTATCCAAGAAGAATATTACTTGCTTAAGCTTTATGCAAAACTGGTCTTTCTCTTGTGAAGAAGCAACTTAGTTCAAGTAGCTGACACTGGTGAGTATGCATGCATCTCTTTCTCTGGATTTGCACCCTTTCCCTAGCCTTGTGCAAATATAGAGGATTAGTCACGAGCATAGAGAGAAGGCAACATGATATTATTAGAATCTTGCTGCCTTTGCTGTAGCCAGTGTTTTTATTCCAGAAGATATCTTGACAGGCTCAAAATAACATACAATTATACTGCTATGTGTGCAAAAGCAGAGCAAGCAAACATAAATGAAAAGAAATGCTGGTAGATGGTGTTAAAAAGAATTTTGGACAAAAAAAGTTATGTACACAGAATAACAACATCAAGCTGCTAGTGGCTTTTTTGCTCCATGCAGTCCTGCATGCTGACAGGTTTTGATTTTTGAGAACATCTTATAGTATTCCTATCTATTAATAAATCCCTTCCATCACAGTTAGACTGTATCAGTTGAAAAGGAATCTGAAAATAAATGTGGGAGAGTTTCAGAACCAGTGACGTACCCCTTTTTGAAAAAATGTTGACATATAATATAGTCATCTGGAAAATTTTAGTGGAGTTAATGGCCTGAGTCAGTGCAGTCCTGGAGTTTTCATGTAAAATGTTACTTCGTTATACATCTTTCTTTTGTTTTCATCAGTTTTTAGTAAGTTATAGGAATTGAAAAACATAAAGCAAGGTTTGTCTCTGCCTTGGAAAAGCTATTTCCGTAATCATTTTCTTCTCAGAGATTTTTCCTTGATCTTAAACATCTTCTCTTTCTTAGATATCTGTGAATATTTCAGTTGCAAATACATTGTGCTATGCCAAACATTATATTTGTTCAAAAAATGTTTAACTGCTTACAAAAATAGATTACAGGAAGATATATCCACAGAGTGAAAAAGGAAAGTATGATTTCGTGGCCAGCTAATATGAGAAGGTACTGAATATTAACATTTGTATGAATATGTAAGAATAGATAATAATGTAATAGGTGATCTTATGGAGATATCCAGATGAATAAGCATAGGCTGAGGAGCCAATGTAGATGAAGAAAATCTTGACACAAGCACATTAACTGCTTACACCTTCCCCCCAAACTATTTTTAATGAAGGAAAGGAAATGGAGTGTTTTAAACCCATGCTTAAATTTTCCTTCTGGCTGCAGTAATCCTATTTCTTAAAGGGTTGCTCATGACTGGAAAATGCTTAGCTAAATCCATGTTGACTGTGCCTATTTATGACAACCTGATTAATTTATTGTGTGTGTATAATACATTTATATAGTCAAGCTGAGAAAAGAAATGTTTTAACATAGTAACTCTATATTTTGAGAATTGATTATACTTGTTAATTTTCTTGCTTAATACGACTTTTGGTGAGTTTTAACATGTGCCCAGCCAGTCTCTCTCTCTCTCTCTCTGTGAGGTTCACATGTATAATGATTTAGAGATTGCATAATGACTGTTTGGCATATCCTACAGGCAAAGGTCCAGAAACCCTTTTTGCTGGCTATAACCTCAATGACAATGAGTGGCACACAGTGCGTGTGGTTCGACGAGGAAAAAGTTTAAAGTTAATGGTGGATGACCAGCAGGCCATGACAGGTAGTATGACGTTGTGACTTCATGTTATCTGGGTGGGGAGGGGAACACAGAGGGAAAATGGCAGAAGTAAAATACCTTCATCTGAAAGTAACAAGATGCTTGCTTTCTTTTCTTGAGTAAGATCTACATTGTGCTCCTTGAAATGCTATTATTGGACTTACCATTTATGTTACTCTAGCACTGCTGTTAAAATTGATGAAAACCTTCATGCTGACTTAAACAGGTATTTTTGTACAGTAATTGGAGAAAAATCGTTTGGTAAATCACTAATGAAAAGGCAAGTAAATACTTTTGCTAAAATACTAAGTTTAAATTAGGGCTAAACTCTAAGCCCATCAAGAGGGAATTTCAGAAATATTTGAAAGATATTTTGTCATGTTTTTAAGACTTGCCTCAGCTGTTCTAAATGACTAAACACTAGGCAACAGATTTTTCTGTAACACTAGAATTGCAGTTTGATGTGAGAATAAAAAAAGGTACGAATGCTCAAACATGTTACAAATACATTCTTATTTTGTCTCACAAATGATAATTGAGAAGGTTATTCTGTAATAAAGTCTCACAAATGTCTTATAAATAGCATCAGATCTGGCTTCTAGCTCTGATTGCTTGCGCAGTACAGTGAGCCTAATTTTGTTTTAGGTATTTAACATTTTCCTTTGCTTTCATGTTTAGATAAAATATATCATTATTTTTTGGCTTTGTTAAAATGATGAAAATGTTAATGGTTTTTAAAAGGAAAGCACCTCCTTTTGTTCTTTTTCAAAAGAGCACTCAGGACTGTTTTGCTGGTAGAAGAATAATTATGGATGTGTCAATGTAGCTTCCAAGATACATTTTCTAGAATCAGATATTACTAATAGGTCTTCCAAAGGTGAAGAAAAAATTTATTTCATGTATGTGCTGATCCTTTGTATCATTTTCCCAAGAAAATGGTTTAAATGAGTTATTTCACAGTTTTTATTTTCTTTATGTGAGTAGAAATATGTGCTACTGAAGGAACTACATAAAGCATCATATTGCTGCTTCAACTGGTGACTCAGATAATGAAGTTACTTTGGGAACAGTTTCTAGTTAGAGGAAGCTGTTTGGAATGCAGTAAAATACAGTGTCTAAATGTGAATTTCCTTTGTTCCTTAGAGTTTTTATTTAAATGTAATGCAGATTTAAAAATCACCAAAAAGTATTCTTTTTCTTTTGGAATCAGTCCCAACTGCTTAGTACAGCTTTAGAAATTCAAAATATATGTGATGGGTTATGATGAGGTCTCAGGGGAGACCTCATTGCTCTCTATAACTTCCTGAAGGGAGGCTGTAGTGAGCTGGGGGTCGGCCTCTTCTCTCGTGTCATTAGTGATAGGACCAGGGGGAATGGCTTCAAGCTACGGCAGGGGAGATTCAGGCTGGACATGAAGAAGTATTACTTTTCAGAAAGGGTGGTCAGGCACTGGAATGGACTGCCCAGGGAGGTGGTGGAGTCACCGACCCTGGGGGGTTTTCAGGAAAGGCTGGATGTTGTGTTGAGGGACATGGTTTAGTGGGAGCTGTTGGGAATAGGTGAATGGTTGGACTGGATGATCTTTTAGGTCTTTTCCAACCTTGGTGATTCTATGATTCTATGAAAATGGAAGGTTTCTATCATAAAGAGTGTAGTCAGTGAAGCAATAAGCAAAGAATGCAGGACTGTACATTTTTGTTTTTCTTTATAATTTTCTTCATTGTGGATAAGCATAGTTAAAATTAGATGTCTCTACAAGTTAAAGCCAGTGAGTATTTTCACTTCAGTTGCCTCTTAATCAAGGAAAACTTTTGCCTGAGTATCCAAATTCTGGTGCAACACTCTTATCCTTTCCAGATGCCAGTGCATCAGAAACTGGCCTGTTAACTCAGTATGATTCTCAGTTTTTGCCTACCTGTGCATAATCCACAAATGTTTAACTCTCTTCACCCAAAGGGAGAAGGTTGTCCCCGTACTTTGGATGGACAAAATCTTCCCAAAATCTCTGCAGGAAGTTATAGGGCCAGCCTGTGTCCTCCTTCATCTGTGAGGAGGGGACTGGTGTGAGAGAAGGGGCTTTTGGGAACGTGCAAGTCTGGTATCATGGGAAATTTTCTGTTAGTACCAAAAGCATTGCATTTTCTTCTTGGCAAATTTTTGTTGCCGTACGTCCACAGCTTTCCTTCTTGTTCCTTTCCCTTTTCCCCTTTCCTTTTCTTTTTCCTTTTCTTTCCCCTCCTCTCTCCCTCTCCCTTCCCCTCCCTCAATACATTATATTGCCAAACCTTTCACCAGCTTAGGTTTTTACTCCTATCTAGTAGATCTTCAAATGTATACAACACAAGTTAACACATAGGAGCTTTGAATTCCCTAACAGGTTAGTGGAAACATTGCCATATCACGTTGGATTGCCCTTACATTAAGCTGTTTAGAATTTTTCTTCAGATGTTTAAAATATACCCTAGTAATTTACATGAAGGTAAGAAAAAACGAAGTTCCTGCCCAGAATTCTGGCTTCCTCTCAGCATGGACTGTTTTCATTTTTTTTTTATTCCATCTCTTCTCTCGTTTAGAAGAGCTTGTCAGGTCCAGAGAGCTAAAGATGGAAGGGGAGCCATTAAATAATTCAGCTTGACTTTCCGTTTTTCACAGGTTATGAAGTCCTTCCTATTTGTCCATGTATTGCACACTCCTTCTTACCATTGACAAATGCATAAATTTATGCATGCCTAAACAGTCTTTCATATCTAGCTTTCATTATAAGTCATGCAGATGGTTTTGATAATTTTACTCAGCAGAAAAAAGTTTAAATGCTTGCAGCACTGATGCACTTTTTTTTTCTTTCTTTTTTTTCTTTCTTTTTTTTTTTTTCTGTAAATGAATGAGAAAGGAAATAGGTCACCATAGTTGGATGTTGGGAAGGATACCTAGCTTATGCTTATGAAAAGCAATTCACTAGGCCTGTTCCATAGCATCACAACAGGTAGTGCATTATATGCACCTGACATAGGAATAGCACAGAAGGACCCAAATTCTAAGCACAAAGTCTCAAGCAATTTTGTACAACTTTAATGTTAGGAGGAGAGTTGGGATGTGAGCCCAGATTTCTGGAACTTTTTTATTACTGTGCTGAAGAAAAAAAATGAGTTTAAGGTAGTAAATGTAAAGAGGATACTGTGCTACAGGCCAAAGCTTAGTGGATTTTTGCCATTACATTTATGCAATGCCATCTGAAGTGATATAAGACTGGAATACATAATGTTCCTCCAAAACTTGTTCTTCAGCTCTCTCTGGCTGTGATCCAGTGTACAGCTATTGGCCTTGCAGAAGGTTATACATCTGGCATTGTTCAAGACAGCTTACTACTGGTTTCTGCAAGGAAGAATCCACCTTCAGTAATATATAAGAGGATAAAATATATTTAGAACTGATGTTCAGAAATAAGAACATCAACAAGCTGTTTCTGGAGATTAAGATACTGATGGTGTTCAGTGGTATCAGTAAAATTGTAAATCATGTAGAATGCATCCTTATACTAAGCAAACTACTGAAAATATTTAACATAAATTATTAACTGCTTTTGTTTTTGTGTGTGTGTGGTCTGAAAGGTCCTAAGATATTATTCTATGTAGCTGAAGTAATCTGTGAATCTATACCCCTGGGCAAAGCCCAAATATCAACATTCACCTTGCCTTGATAGCTGCCCTATTCACACAGGCATGCACTTGCTTATAAAAGCTTTTCAAGTCTGAGCATGCCACAGTTTTCTGCAAGATTGCCAAGCACATCCAGCTCAGGTCAGAGCTCACACATTCTTACTGTAGTTCATTCAGTGCAGAGGGAGCTTGGCCATCAACAATGTGCACTGCAACTGTAGGGACATTATTGAACAGCTTTATGCCATTACATCTGTACCATTTCTTGAACCTGGAAAAAAATCTTAGAAAAGGGAGCTCTTTAGAGGATGAAAATTTGAATGTAGGATAAATTAATAATCAGTTTCAATACTAATTTGTACACAGCGTGCAATGCCAGCATTGATTGTTGCCTTCAGGTTAGCTATACAGCCTGAAAATTTTAGACTTTTTGCTATGCATGGCAAAGAAAGACCCAGGGGTACCTTTGAGGCTTGTGGTTTCTCTGATGTAAGCAAGTCCCTTGCGGTTTTCAGGATGACAACAGACACCTGGATGTGCCCTTACTGCACACCTTCAGGTTTGTGCATCACTTGGGCTGTGACTGCCTCCTCCCCTACTTTGTCCCCACAATACGAAGCTAATTACTTTCACAATTTCTCTGACCACAATTTCAGGACAGGATTTTGCAGCAGGCAAGCACTACTGTACCTAGGACTGCTTAAACAGGAATCCTTCCTGCTAAATCCTGCCCTTTTAATCAAAGCATATAGAGTAATGTCCCCAAGACTCTTATACTCTTCCATGAAATTCCGGCTCTTAGAACATTTGTGTTCTTGTTGTGGTAATTACTTTTGCTTAGAATAAATCAAATTATCTGATTAACTGTAATCAGAGTGTGGGATTTCATTTACAGTTGGATATACTATGGTATTATTGCTCAGTGTAGAAGTATTGTTGTTAGTCTTATCTAAACATAACAAACTTGGTGAAGAGACTCTCAGATCTTTACAAGTAGTTTGGATGACTTTAAAAAGTCCTCTTTGGGATCAGGAATTGGCCTGCACAATCTAAGTGTGGAATTCCTGCACGTGCTTAATCGTGAGATGTGCTTTTTGACTTCCTATTTCAAATACTAATGTGTGTTTTCTTGTTACTGTTTTAAGGTCAAATGGCTGGTGATCACACACGGCTGGAATTCCACAACATAGAGACTGGAATAATAACAGAACGTCGCTACCTGTCTTCTGTGCCTTCTAATTTCATTGGGCATCTACAGAGCCTTACATTTAATGGCATGGCATACATTGACTTATGTAAAAATGGAGACATCGATTATTGTGAGCTAAATGCAAGATTTGGGTTCAGAAACATCATAGCAGACCCTGTAACCTTTAAAACAAAAGCAAGTTATGTCGCATTGGCCACATTGCAAGCATATACATCTATGCACCTTTTTTTCCAGTTCAAAACCACCTCTCTGGATGGATTGATACTTTATAACAGTGGCGATGGAAATGATTTCATTGTGGTTGAATTAGTAAAAGGGTACGTATGGATTGGTGTATTGATAAAAACAGGCTATTCCAAATATACAGACAGGAGGAAAAGAAAGGAAAGCTCTGGGGACAAATCTTTACCTGACTGAGTAATTCAGACTGATGAATGTTTCCTCATGTTAAGCTTCATGTGTTTTATTGTGACTTTTTCTTTCAGATGAAGCTAGGTGCCTGAAAAATATGAAAATAAGTAATAGGTATAATAATAGCATTTACCCCAAAGCTGATAGCCTTCCTTGTGCGCGCTCTCTCTCTCTCTCTCTCTCTCTTGATACAAGGAGTGCTTATTATTTTCCAGAAACTTGAGACGTCATCTCAGCCCCTCTATATTTCTCTGAAATTCTCTGACTTAAGGCTGCTTCCTCATTTGAAGGAAGTGTTATCATCCTTACCACCATTGCTGAGAAGAACAAGGAAGTGGAAAATACTAGACAAATTAATTCATTAGTTCCTCCTTGGTATGTAAAGAAAAGGAAACTTCCAATTTTTTCTCTTTTTGCAGATATTTACACTATGTGTTTGACTTGGGAAATGGTGCAAATCTCATCAAAGGAAGTTCTAATAAACCTCTGAATGACAACCAGTGGCATAATGTGATGATATCAAGGGATACCAACAATCTCCACACTGTAAAGATTGACACAAAAATCACAACTCAGAGCACAGCTGGAGCCAGAAATTTAGATCTCAAAAGTAAGTACAGTAATTTCTTTACAAAATAAAGTGAGAATCACTACAGAGTGGTAACCTGAAAAAGGATTTACACTTCAATACCATACAAAATATTAAATTTGAAAATAATTAATATGTCCACAGGAGATGCAATTTTCTTTGTTGACCTGACAATGGCAGTATAGTAGTAGTCTTGCATAGTTAAGTACAACTTTAAAGGTTGTGTTTAAGAACACAGAATAGTAATTAAGAATACAGAATGGACCAATATCATACTAAAAGATTTCTAGTGGAATACAGGAGCTCTAAGGACCTTACAAAGAAAGCTTGACTTTATGTGAACATGAGCTATGTTACTGGCATGCAGAAGCCACAACCCAATTTGTACAGTATGATTACAGAGGTTTAGCAGAACTAATGATCTCCATGTTAGAAGCTTGGAGAATATTTTCACCTGGTCCACGTTGTTCGATATTCCACACAAATTTCACCTTCCATTGGGAAAATAAATGCAGTGCAATATATTTTAACAGGCTTTATAAATTTCTTGTTAGGAAAACCGACATTTTATAGCAATCAAAGAAAATATAATATTTCAGAAGCCATGTTGTTCAAAGTAGACACTAATATTCCATCAAGAGCTTGTTCCTTGCTGAATTTTCTTTTATCTACCTCTGAGTCACAGAAAATGTGCTAACCTCAGTAATTATTCTGGATTTTGTGGTATTTTGCATGTTTGCTTCACTTGTAAGTACTGTAAGAAAGACTGAAAACTGTCTCAATATATTGTAGTTTTCAGCAAGGTGCTTCTTATCAGAAATTCTTGGTCTAGAAAATGAAGTTATTTGGATGGCTCATGCTCCATTCTCAAAATTGTGTATGAATATTGTGCCATGTTCTTTCTTATGTTTACATTCCTCCAAGTATATTCCAAGTTTATTTAGTATAATATTTCTGAGGTATTCTGATATACTGAAATCATACACCTTATTCCTTCACATTTTTGCATCACAAAGTGCTCCTTGTATATATGCATGTATTAAATCTTTTTTTTTACCCAGTATATTAGTTAGACATGTCTAGAAAAAATAATTCTGATCTGAACTGATAAACATAGCCATTTTATGCTACATGTTTTTTAAAAGGAAGGTGGTGATTTGCTGTGTTTCTTTGTTTAAAAAGAAGTTTGAACAACGTGCTTAATAAAAGCACTAGAGGGCACTGTTATTTCACTAAATGTATTGGCTTGTGCCTTCACAGAGTCCCTCAGCTAGGATAACCTATGGAATCCAGCATTCTTTTGTTTTCTTTATACTGAAAATTCTACTTTTGCTTTACCCTTTTGAAGTTAAACTGTTGATAGCTGGTGCATTTTCTAACCTTGAATTCCAGTTGGAAAAAAGAAGACTGAAGAGTATGAAAAAACATACTTAGAATTGAAGTGAGGAAGGTGAAATATTCTGGGTGCTGATTTTCTGTAGTTCAACATCCAGGAAGTATGGCTAGTAAACGAATCACAAACCTGGCATTTTCAAGCAGTAATGTACAGTTAGCATACACAGTTCCTCAATCTCCAGCTTTTTACAGCAGCATGTTACTTTTTTTTTTTTTCTTAATGTTCTATTATATTTTGCTCAGATTAAATTCCTTAAGTATGACACATCATTTATAGTGAGAGTTTTGACTGTTTTTCTGATACGTTTCCAGCAGGTTAGAAAGGAGAAAAATAATGTCTTTCATTATTGTTTTTTCTTCCTCTGTATTCAGTTGAAATGCTTTTGCATGGCTTTTTTTTTTTCTTGTTTTTCTTTTTTTTTTCTCTGTTGTGCCATAAACACTCCCTACACTTAACTTTACCAATAAGAACAGTCATGGTTAATTCATTGTCCTCTATTATTTCAGCCCTAGCAACAAAGCAAATTTAAACTTGTACTTCCTGCTAGTGATAGCAATCATTCTGTGTAACTGGAGTTTACATTAGCAGAAATATACATGTGTACAGATAATAAAGAATTCTGCAGCCTTTCTCAGTAATTACATAGTTGCCAGATTTCAAATGCTGAAAGCCAAGATAATCCTGGAAAGAATAATCACATATATGCAGATTTAAAAATAAAAAAATGTACAGTGAACTCAGTGCAAAGACAGATTGTGTTGTGGAGCCTGCACAGGATGCCAGCTGTATGTGAAAGCAGACAGTTGCCATAAAAGCACAGGAGAAAATTTTCACCATACATTTCCTTCTGGGTGCAAGATTTGGCTTCTTAATACAGAAAGTCTGTTATTAGAGAAATGGCTTTCCTGTGTCTCCTCTGACACAATTTCAGTGGACAGGAGTTGGGAACCTGTGGAAACACATGCGCTAAATTTTCCAGCTGAATTACTGCAGTCTCTTGATGGATAAATGATAAACTAGTGTCAAATAAATAAATGAGTGAAAATAGTTCTGTGTCAGTTTCAAGAACTGTACTGTTTTTGTGAGCAGAGAAAAACAGCAAAGTGTACTCAGGTGGAGTTCCATCAGATAACCTACAAAGATAAGTGAGACTTAACAGAACAGCATTGTATTCAACTTGCCAACATACAGTTATACAGTAAATCTGCTTTCACATATTTCATAAGCACTTTCCCTGTCCTGCTTGCAGCTGGTTAGCATGGCTATGTCATTCAGGGTTTTGACAGCAAGAGAAGTTGGGTGGAGAATTCTCCTTGCTGTTCTCAGTATTGTGGAGATGTAGTGTAAGAGGACCGAGTGGCCTGAAATGTGCACAAAAATGCAAGTGAAGTTGGAATTTGACTCATGTTCTTGTTCCTTAACACTGCCAAAGGAAAGATGTCTCCTTCATTCAGGCTATGTGGGTATTGCAACATCTGTAACGTCTCTTCTGTTTCCACACTTTCTTTCTGTGGTGTGGGAAATGAGTTCTGGAAGTTTTTTTTTATATAAATACTTGAAGACACAAGAGGAGGAGGAACATCCTCAAGTGTAACTTTGTATCCTCACAACTTGTAGGCTTTAATCTTCCTTTTGATTTGCTTTAATATGGACACTACTTTAACCCCCCAAACAACTTTTCACCTATTTCAATTAAAGTGCAAACATACGAAAAAGAAATACACACAGAATGACTGTCCAGAGAAAATTCAGATATTTTAACGCTTTATTTATTTGTAAGTTGGGATGAATAAGTAAAATATCACACTGTCATGAACGGAAAAGTTAAAGAACGCTGTTGTTTACATTTAACAAAAAGTAGTTACAAACTTTTCAAGGAATTGATAATTTCAGTACAGCACTATCCTATCCTGTTCCAAACTATCTAGTTGTGCTTTATCCTTCAGGATAAACTGTAGTCATCTGAATTCTGATTTTGGGCTATTAGTACTTTCTTTTAAAAACAAATTCACCATCACAGAAAATTCCTGCCCAAATCTACAGCTTTGGTTTGATTTTCGCTGCCCGTGCAGTGTTTCACACATTTACTAGAACTGCTGTTCTGAGCTGGCATCCATACTTCCATCTTTTCTCACTTTATTCCCTTCCACGTGGCTTTCCCAAATGTCAATTTTTCTAGTGTCCATTATAAATAATATTTATTCCTGTGCTACTGTGTCACTGTATCCTCCAAAATAAATAAAATAAAAATAAAAATAAGAAAAAAAAAAGCAATTCATATTAGAGCCCACCTCAGAACCAACACTCATATGTCTAAAAATTCCATCTGGATTTATTTTTGTCTGTTTTATTTTACTTCTGTAGCCCTTAATTGTTCTCCAGCTGTCTCTGTCTCTTCTTAAGATATGACTTCTATTGCTATATATTTGCCTTTTCATTTGCCCTTTTCTCCTGTGATATGGAAGCAGCCTGTTCTGAGGCCTCTGAAAGAAAAGCAATCACATTATTTTCTGGTGTAACATCAGTGGTTTCATAGACACCCTGAAATACACTTCCATATATGTAAAGGCTCACTCAGAAATTCATCCATCCTTGTAAACTTCCTGCATAGGTTACTAAATTATCAATAGATCTATTAGCCTTGTGTATTTATTGATGATTGGTAATAGTGATTTAATCTATAAGGGCTTGCTTTCCCTGTCAAAGCACATTGCTCAAACCATGCAAAACTGAGATAAATTAGTCTTGGTCGTTGGAGAGGCTTCTTGTTACAGTGATAGAAATTGAAATAATGTCAATTTTATGTAATACTTCCCAGTGTTGTCTTATATTGAACCCATTGTTATTGTTGCTGCATTATGTGTTCTTTTGTGTATTTCAAGGTCTCTATTAATGGTAGCATTTTTTCATATTTTTAACAAAAAAAAACCAAAGCTTTATTAAGAAGAATGGAGAAGTCTTTTACATATAAGCCCAAAATTGTACAACAGAATGAGTATTAGCACTTATATTTCTCAAATGAGCATGCATGAGTTAATTGTAATGACCTTGCCAGCGGGCTGTGAGCTCCTCATGCAGAAACAACGCTCTGTTTCAAATACAGAACTCCAAATACAGTCACCAGTAAATAGATCTTTCTATTGTGACTTGTTGGAGTAGACATTAGTGGATGCAGCTGTTGTCTTCCTGACAGTGTTGAGAAAGCAACCTCTGTTCAGAGTAGTTGCAAAGGTAAAGTCAGCCTATGCCCTACATCAAAATAGCTTCTGCATAGGAAAACGATGGGTCATTGTCCATTTGGAAGGGAAGGGAAGGCCCAAAATGCAGGCAGGGACCACTTTGTAGGGAAGTCTGTGACCGCCTTGGGCCTGGGTTAGAGATACAAAGAGAAAGCTTCCTTTCCTGGCTAACCAGCCCTCAGGTTATTTTCTGTTATTGGTTTTTTTTTTTTTTTTTTTTTTTTTTTTTTTTTTTGTTTTTGTTTTTGTTTTTGTTTTGTTTTTTTTTGGGTAGGCAGTGATGGAGTTCTAGCAGGAAGTTTGAGGAAACTCAAGAGGGACTTCAGGGCCTTGGGACAACTGATTAAGGGTGTAGGAGCACAAACAGTGTTTTCCTCTATCCTTCT